CCCCGGGGCCACAAGGGTGAAGCCGCTCCCGGGCCCCCCTGTGCCGCCCCGGCTGGCCATGCCCAACCCCTGCCTGAGCCAGCTGCTGACCACGGGTAAGGGGACCGGGGGGCTGTGGGGAGCGCAGGGCCGAGCCCGGGGTAGGGGGGGGATCCTGGGGTGGGGGGGATCAGACTGGGGGGCCCACTTTCTCCCCAGGGTTTGAATGCTGGGGATGTGGGGCAGAGCCAAACCCAGGGGTGAAGCTGTTCCCAGGGGGATCCCCCCCAGCTCCAGCATCCCCTGGAGAGGCCCAGGCGGCCCCAGGGCTTGACCACAGCCACTGCTGCAAAGTCCTCATGTCCCCAGCCTGGTCTCCACAGTTCTCCACAGATGGGCTGAGGGGTCACCAGTGTCCTGGCCGACTTGCTGCCCATGCATACAGTTGGACGGGTCCCACAGAAGTTGTCATATCCAGACCCATGCTGTGCTGGGGAGGGCCTGGGGGTCTCTGCCTGCACCGATGCTCCCAAGGATGTCCCCACTGCGGAGAGCAAAGGCACCTCTCCCCAGGGGCTGCTTCAACCTTCCCTGGGGAAGATGGGCAGGGAAGGGGCTCCAGCAATGCCGGTGCTGCGGGCTGGCTGTCCCCTGGGGCAGAAAGGTCACCTGAGTCCTGACAGCCCCACGCAGCAGCACACTTCTGCTCCCTGCCCTCTTGCAGCCAAGCAGGAGCCAGCCCTGGATGCCCCACACCCAATGGATGCAGGACTCATGCCCATGTCCCCGGTCTCCCTGGTAAGCACTTGCCTATCCCCCATGTTGGGAATTGCCCCCCCAGCTCAGGAAGTACCTTCTCCTGCTTGCTGGGGCAGGGGTAGAGATGGGGCGCGTGAGGAGATGGGGCTCTGTAGGGTCACCCATTGCAATATGGATCTGGACAGGCACGGGGCGAAGGGGGGCACATGGCCGGGGGTGCCAGGGGTCACCTGAGTGTTTTTTCCTAGAAAAGAAACAGGGCAGAGATGGGGAATTTCCTGCTGCATAACCCCTTTCCTGGCGATTCTGCCTGGGGGCGATGGGGCTGTGGCTGCCCCTGCGGATGCCCCGTGGGGACAGGGCTGCACGTCCCACTCACCATTTCCCTCGTGGGTGTTTGGCTGTCAGTGCCCAGGCACCGACTGACCAAAGGGGAAGGTCTGGTCCCCTGCATGCATGCCGCACTGGCCCCTCAACCTCCCTCTTCCCTCTGCCTTCTCCCAGCAGCAAAGTGCTGTCCCCGACGTCCCTGCCACCTGCCTCTCCAGAATGGCCCAGCTGAGCCCAGGGCTGGCTCCTGGCTCCAGCCCTTCCCAGGCAGTGCAGGTGCTGGTGCCAGGACCGCTGGCGGGCACCCAGCCGGGCCCACTGCTGGTCCCCAAGGCGGAGCAGCTGTCCCCCACGTCGGCTTGTGGTGAGTCTGGGACACCCCAAGGAGCTCCACAGGACACTGCGTTTCCTGCAGGAAGCTTGGACCAACCATTGTGGGAATGTTTCATTTTGGCTTCAATCCCAGCTGTTTACATTTACCCAGCTGAGCACAGATGATTTCTTTCTGCGGGGGTGATTTCTTTCTGCACAACCCCTTTACCTGCCTCCTTCTCCAGGGCCAAAAGCAGAAACAGGAAAAGACACAAAGGAGCAAAATGTCAGACTGTGGTTTTGAACACTCAGAGCTTGGTTTTTGAGCAGGAAGCACCCTGCTTTCACCCGCAGAAACCAGTGCGGAGGCTGGAAACCAGGCTCTGGTGTCATTCCCAGTTTCAGTTTGGTGCTGCAGACCACAGCCTTGCTGCCCTCAGGACTCTTTCCTAGCGATTTCCAGGAATTTAAAATGTCACATCCCAACTGTTCCCATTTCTGAGCAGTTGTAAAATAAGCAGGATGTGGGATAAGACAAAGCGATAAGACGTGGTCAGACGCTGGACCAGAGCATCCCCATCAGCTGAGTGGGGTGGCTGCTCAGGGGTGGCGATAGCGCTGCAGGTTGCTCCTCTCCACCCATCCCAGCGTGGGACCCTGGTGTCAGCTAGTCATGAGGGGCTGCTGCCACTGCTGCCCCTCTCCTCAGAACATCACCTTTCCTTTCCCAGGCAGTGACTGGCCCAAGCCCAGCCAGGCTTCCCCAGGACCCGCTGTAGGGCTGGGCACTGGCATCTCCCTGCACCACCCTGTGTCCCGTCGGGGCAGGTCTGAGTCCAACAAGGTACAGCCGGAGCAAGCGCTAACTTCACTATGGGGGCACCATCTCCATATGCAACCCCCTTTCCTGCTGCCCCCCAAACTCCCCCCCCAACCCTTGCTGCGTGCTTTGGGCCAGCCCATCGCTGATGGGGCAGGTGGCCCAGGGCTCTCCCCACTGCCAGGAGGTGCCTGACAGTGCTTGCCCACAGGTGGAGAGCCGCCGCATCACACACATCTCTGCCGAGCAGAAGAGACGCTTCAACATCAAGCTGGGCTTTGACACACTGCACAGCCTGGTGAGCACACTGAGCGCCCAGCCCAGCATCAAGGTGAGTACCCAGGGCTGTGTGGACCGGCCCTGGGCACAAAGGGACATGGTGTGTCACCCGGGATGCTGCGTTCCTGATCCGCCCCTGTGCAGGGGGCTCTTGCCCCGGCCCGTGGGGCAGGAGGCTGTGAGCCCAGACCAGGCACGTGGAGACCCACGTGGTGCAGCCGTGCCAGGGTGGAACACTGCACCTCACACTGCCAGCCCCACTGCATGAAGGGCTGGGTGCCCCAGATCCTGCCCACCCCAGGGGCTCCCTTCGCCATCTCACCCCTGTGGCCCTGCAGGTCAGCAAGGCCGCCACCTTGCAGAAGACAGCAGAGTATATCTGCAAGCTGCAGCAGGAGCGGGCAGCCCTGCAGGACGAGGCACAGCGGCTGCGGGAGCAGATTGAGGAGCTCAATGGCTCCATCAAGTAAGAGGGGCATGGCCGGGGGAGGCAGGAGGGAGCCACTGCCTGCATCATGGTAGCCAGGCAGGGCAAGCAGCAGCACCAGGGAAGCAGCTGGACACAGCAAGTCTCCTGAGCACCTCCCAGGACTTGGATTTGGCTCTGTCCCTGCTCAAACCCCATTTTGGAGGCAGAGCAGAAGCTCAAGGGGCAGTGCTGTGTGGGACCAGAGTGTGGGGCCATGCCCCACAGGTGCCCTGGGAGGGGGACACTGCCTCCCCAGCCCTGCTGAGAGCTGCGGTCCTACCAGACCCTCTCCCCATGGGGTGGCCCCTGCAGCTCCCCCCCTCAACACAGACCCATGGTGCTGCTTGCACCCCACAGCCTGTGCCAGGAGCAGCTGCCAGCCACGGGGGTGCCCATCACACGCCAGCGCTTTGACCAGATGCGCAGCATGTTCGACGAGTACGTCCGCTCCTCCACACTGCAGAACTGGAAGTTCTGGATCGTATCCTTTGGGGCCAGTGCTTGCTGCTTGCTCTGACCCCTCCACCAAACACTGGGTTCTCTGGTTAACCCACTCCTCCCAGGTCTGTGGGGTCCCTCCAGCTTGAGAGGCTCTGAGAACCATGGGAAGATGCTACGCAACCAAGGGCAAATGGTGGGAACATGCCGAGATGCTGTGGTTAGGGTGAAGCTTCTGCTACAATGATGCAAACAGAGTAGGAGTAAAAGGCTGGTCCTTGGGGAGAAGGGAAGTCACCAGTGGAGCTGAGCTCATGCAGGGAAGAGCTGCTGGTGATGTGGCAACTGAGTCAGAGAGGCAGCAGCCATCAACTAGGAATTAGACACAAAGCTGGGGACATGATGGCTTGGCCTTGGTAGCCATGTGGCGCACTCTGGAAACCCAGGTGTGCCCATGCCTGGGACACAAGTCTCGACTCCATGCGGTAGAAAGGACGGAGGGGACCAAGGGCCAGGGAATGTGTGGTCAAATGGCTGGACCTGCTTCTCCGTAAGCAGGGATTAGACACATTGGGACCATTAAGCCTGCAGAGACTGTGAGGTCTACAAAATCCCAAGGGGCAGAGGGATGGGCAGGCCTTGCTGGCCACAGTCTGATGCAGTACAGGCAGCCCAGGCAAGGCAGAGGTGGCTCCTGATCCTGAGTTTGGAAGTGCTCCTTCCACAGGACACTGAGGATGCTAAAGCCAACATGAGCTCCAGGACATGCTCATAGTGGAGGCATCTGCTGTGGATTACTACACACACAAAATCACCGGTCCCCAGTGGTGGTCCCTGCAAGCACCAGGGGAACACACTGGACATGCTGGTGTCATGCCCTGCTCCTGGGCTCTTCAGAGGACACTGCGCTAGCCAGCTTCTTGATCAGCTCTGGAAGGGTTGTTTTGTGTCTAATCAAGCATTTCTGACAGCCCCAGTCATGACGAGGCTTACACAGCTCTCCCACTACCTGCCCTGGATGACACTCAGGTCCCCATCATCCCAGCAGTACAGACTGGTGCCCAGACTGGGGCTCAGCTGGGGAAAGCACCAGCAGGTCTGCTCCATGGCCAGGCAGGGAGGTTTGTCCTGCTGCCTGCAGGACAAACACCACCACAGCTGGCAGGTGGGAGACCACAGTCTTTGCAAGGCTGGTCCTTAACTCCTCTGCTCCCATCAGTTCAGTATCATCATCCGGCCCCTCTTTGAGTCATTCAATGGCATGGTCTCCACGGCCAGCATGGAGAGCCTCACCCAGACCTCTCTCGCCTGGCTGGACCAGCACTGCTCCCTCCCAGCCCTTCGGCCAAGTAGGTGGCCCTCCTCCTGTCTGTGGCACCTTGAAGAGGCTGGGCTGGCCCGCTGGCACAGACTGACAGAAAAGCAAAAGGGGAAAGGATGGAGGCATCCTGGGGGGTGGCAGGGCTGGCGCTGCGCCACACTTCTGCTGCATGGGAGGGAAGTACTGGTGGGGCGTCCTGGGGCTGTGGACTCCGTGCTTTTCCACACTCCTTTCACACCCATCACACTCCAGCCGAGCTGGCTGCTGCTGCCTTAACCCAAGAGCCCATGTCCTCACTGGGCAGGGTGTAGCCCTCCCCAAAGCCCCACAGGGTGGGTTCCCCTTCGCCCTTGCTGCTGGGGGCTGTGGGGGGGAGCTGTTGTGTTGTTCTGGAGGCTGGAGGGATGGGTGCACCTGGGCTCCTTCCAGCCCCCAAGGCACAGGGGGCAGCTACATGTCCCATGTCTCCCTGCAGCTGTCCTGAGCTCCCTCCGGCAGCTGAGCATTTCCACCTCTATCCTAAGCGACCCGGCTTGCATCCCGGAGCAGGCAACGCGAGCAGTGGCGGGGATGGGCCACGGTGGTGGCTCCTCCTAGTTTTCCCAGCCTTGCCAAGACCCAGATGAGTGCCCACCAACGCCAGCAAGGAGCCCCCAGCAGGGCTGCAGGGCCAGCAGGGCTGGGCTG